ATCAAAACCAAATTGTTAGTTAGTTCCCTGAGCTTGAGTTTGGTTGGATGGTAAGAGGAAGCTTGAGCAGTTTATTGTAAGTGTTCTTGCAACAGCCTCGGTCTTTTGTGCCGTTGCGTCACATCGCTCAAGTGCGGTTTTTAAAGGAAATGACGTGCACAACAACCCATGCATACTAGAGTAAGGTCCTGAGATACTGTACTCCAAGCATCCAACATTAGATCTATCTATGCCGTGGCTGTATGCAGTTTCAGCGCCAGGGCCATCAGCTGCCATGTCCAAAGAGGGGGCTCCAATATGCAGTGCCCTCCACAACATTTACCGGAAATCACGTATCACCCGCTATGTTCAAGCTGTGCTAAGAAATGAGCACACCTGCGAATGGCTGTCGAAACTGATACCACGTCAGGCTGGCTTGGAACGTCCCAACCTCCCTGATGCTTGTGCCCAAGGCCGCTTCTCGAGGCTGCGGCGAAGCCTCGAGTAGGTGCGCAGATTCAAGCAGTGCCATGAAGCTCACTTTGTCCATGGTCGTCATCTCCGTCGCGAAATTAATATCTGGAGTAGCAGCATAGGTGACAGCAGGGCAGCAGGGCGAGCCGCAAACGGCGGCAGCGTCTCATCATGTTATGTGCGCCTTCCTGCGCTGGAAAAAACATTTGCAAAGCTCCAAAGTCAAATTCAGGCTTTCAAGCTGGGCAGACTCGCACAAAAGATTGGGCCTGCTCCTCAAGTCTGCCAAGGGCTCGAGTCGGCCTGAGGGTCCAACAGTCTCCTATCCCATTAGGATGTTTTGAAGACTTTTTGGCGTACAGCCCTAAGGGCATCTGAATGTTCGCACTTTGATTCTAGGTTATGGGGATGACAGTACTGGGTCTTGCTGGCTGCAGGGGAAAACGAGTGAGTATAGTACATGCTGCCCACAAATGCCCACGAATCCAAGAATAGTAGCAAAAATCATGGTAACCAACCCCTAGAGTCCGTAGTAGTAGTAGTAGTAGTAGTAGTGGTAGCAGTAGTAGTAGTAGTACTTCCCCCCCCAACCAAACGTGCTTTACCCACACAAAATCATCAACAATGCTGTACATGCCAATAGTTTTTGCATGTGTGCTCTTCGAATTGACGTCACTATATGCCCCCACCCCACTCCCCACCCTACCCCACCCCCCTTCCCGGCCTCCCCACACATTACCAAAGTACAGAGCCTTCTGGCCTTCCACGAAAGCCAAATTTCCTGAGTGTTTACCTGGTTTCAATATGCACAATCTGGCAAGCATAGTTGGTAGGGAGGGGGGCGCCAAGTTCTTGTAGCATGCCTGAACACTCTCCCCAAAAGTCATAGGCGTTCGGGCCTCATCGTATTGGCAGCTAACAAGGCTAAGATGAGCTAAGGCCGATGCCATGCGCAACGCTCTTGGCGTGCGGGCCTCTGCTCAACCACCTGCTGCATCATGAGCATATCGAGCCGTTCAATCTGAGTTCCAAGAGTTGATTTCAGCGACGAACTGTTCAATTCAGACTTTCAGGTGCCACTAGGGCATGGAGGTGTCTCGAAACTAGTGTTCCCTTCAGGATACCCCCCAGAAACGTTGCCAGTACATGCAGGGGCCCCCTTTTGAGTCATAGCCACATGATATTCACAAGACTTCTTGCTTTTAAGATGAGTCGGGTAGGTCGCTCCCATAACATGGAACTAGTAGTTTCCATGTTCTTGTCCATTATCCTTATTAAACCCCAATATGACCCTATATCCCAAACTGGTTCATGATGCCAGACATGACCAGGCAAGGAAATAAGCGAGCAAGCTTGCGAATCGGGCCCTCCTGGCATCAGATGTCAAGGTAGAGGTACAGGAAACTTCTACTTGTGGAAAATGTGGGTTTCCAAGACACTTATAACTAAACCCTATATATCTCTGTAGAACTCCTCTAGAACCCCTATAGAGCCCTATAGAACACCCATATATAACACCCATATAACCCTCATATAACCCCTATAGAACCCCGACATGACCCCTGTATATCTGCAGGTCCAGGATGACAAGGGCTCATACCATGAAGGCCTTAGCATCGCACCTTGCAGCCTCGTAGGGCTTTATGGCTTAGGGTTTAGGGCTTTAGATTGGGGTTATATAGGGATAGTGGAAAAGAAAACCGAAGCGAGCAGTTTTAAGTGCATGTATGTGTATATATATATATTGTATATACATAGATATATACATATATGTCTACCGTAGTATAGATCTTATGCCCTACCCGTTCTGGGGCACCTGATTTTGCATGTAGAAGATGCTAACCATGAAGTCGGCACCCTAATAATAAAGTGCAGTGTATAGGTAGGGGAGTACAGCTATGGATTTACAAGTTGCTCAGGTTGGTCCTGCAATCGGCTTTAGGCTACCCACAGCCGTACTCACAGCCATGAGAGGCATCTAATGGCATCAAAAAGTAGTTTGAGACACTTTCTTCTGCTCAGCTCAGCTTTAGTGGCACATACCGGGGTTCTGGGGGATTACTGGTTATGCTGTTGAAGCTCTTGCCAGCCTTTTTTTGTTGAGATGTTTTGAACTGTCTTTCAGTTTGGGGGCTTTGTCCAATTTCGGTTTCAGCTACACAAATGTTGAAGCTATTTAACCTTGTCTGGCACCAGTTAGTCTGAGAGAGCCTGACTGCCAAACCTGGGAGTTTCACGAAACTAAGGGTAGAGGCCCCCTATTTTGGGAAACTGCCATATGGGTGCGTGTCAAAGTGATTGGGCCCACACGGCTTACAATGACAGGCGAGACCCGATCATCGTCCAAGAAGCAGCTGCGCCCCAAGAAGCTGGATTGCTGTTAAGAAACTTAATTTAAGTTACTATATTTGGGAAACCCTATTACTTCTATTCTCATTATGGTAACTTAATTTAAGTTCCTTAACAGCAACCCAAGAAGTCTCGCAGGTTTTCTAGCCTTTGGTAAGCTGGGAATGAAGAAATGAAAAATAACATGGAAACTCATACCAAGGGTCATATACCGACTACTATAAGGATCCATTCCTTCATTCTTAGCTAACCAAAGGCAAGTGATGCTGAATTGTGGTGCAGGAGAAGTACCGAAGGCTACGGGATTCATGCTTTTGGATGGCAGCAATCGTAGCAATCAGTTAGGGGTAAAGTGCAGCTCGTTGTCTTGTCCTGTAGCCGCCTTGCAGTTGGCAGCATGTCAGTTTGGGAAGCCCATGACAAATGTTCTACATCCTTTTTACTGCTTGTTCTTCAACACATCTAGCAACCCTACAACTAAATCCAATGAAAGCCGAACAGAAATTTGCCTAGAATCCTTAATTGGCCCAGACATAAACCCGTGCCCTGTAGCGTCCCTGCGTATGGTTTCGATTACATATTCATGCCTGAAGTAGATGTACATGTGGATGCCCAGAGAAAAGTCCTCACCGAAACAGGCTTTGTCTTGACACCACGCCCACCTTGAATATGTTCCTGCTTTCTAAACCCCCAAACCCTTTTCAGCTCTGACCCTTTCCACTCTCCCCAGATCATCGCTATAGCCTCCTACTGTAGTTTCAACGGGGCAGTGGATTCCAAGGTCAAAGGAGGAGCCAGCCCCAGGCGTGGGGGGCCGGAACAGAATGGGGGTCAGAAAGTATTGTATGGAGGGAAATTGATATTGGCAGCAGGTTGGGGGATGAGGGTCTCTGAATCAGGGGCTTTATGGAGATATCTCGCTTGGCGAAGCTTGCGGAAGGACTCAGCTTTGGCACTTTTTGTGTTTGATCTGTTGCTATGGCATGCTTCTATAAGTCGTGTGTGCAGGAGTTGAGTCGCAGTGCTGTGTTTTCTCCTTCCAACACGGAAATAAGCAGCATTGTTCTTTGCGCTTGGACCTTTGTTTTGCCACATGCTGTGACGGGCGAGGCGGGAAGGAAAACAAGTTATGAGCCAGGTTCTGCACAGGCTTTCTACATTGGCAAAATACAGGTGGGGGGGGACCTCAGCAAAACTGGTTCTTTTATACCAATAGATTAATTTGGGAGACGTATGTAGCAGGCCAGCCGGTCCCTTGACTCCTTAAACCAACACGAACAGGCAAATGACTTCATTTACGAACGGGCACTTGGTCGCCACTTTTGAAGCCACTTCCAAGTATGGCAGGAAACTGCGGCAAGCAAAAGCAAGTTATTGTTTCTTCTGTTATCACTGCCACTACCGCTGCTGCTGGTGCTCCTGCTAATACTCCTCATCCTCCGATAATTGCTGATACCACTGCTGCTACGACTCTACTGCTGCTACCACGACCACCACCACGACAAGTAGTATTTCTACGGGAACTACTACTCCGACGGCTAGTACTATGACAGCTACATCTACCTCAGCATCATCCTCCATTTCCTTTTCTTGTTGAACTGTGTTGTTGCGTGGCACCAGAAGAAGCGCAGGGCCGGAGCTGCCAACAGTTGGCGGCCCAGTCGCGCCGCACGCCCAGCGACCGACTGCAGAGACTTATTTCAGCATCTTTCAGCTTGGGCTAACATGAGGTTCGGGGCATACCCCTTAGCAGGTCCAGCCATTCATCAGACCACATCCGGGTATTCTTGAAGATTTGGCTCCCTTTCAGGTCAGGAGCCCGACGGCTTCTCATGAGGACATGAAGGGAAGGTACACGCAGCGCGTGTCTCATGTATGTGCCCCAGTCGTGTACGTGCGACCCAAGACGCCGAAATCAGGGCCCCCTTTTTGCTCAGACTAGTTCGCAAACATGGCATCCGTGTTTGAATTTTATTCTCCTGCTGGACTGGGCAGGAACGCCGTGGTCTGCTTGCGTGGAAATACTTAGACCTCGTGCGACTTGCGCGCAGTAACGGTCTTCATCCCATCATCAGTCAAGTACCTTCCGCTTAGCTGATCTGCTTGCTGAGTGACACTCTTCATGCTTTGTCAGTTCTGGGCTCAAGGAAACCCTGGCCTTTGCCTTGGACATTACATGATGTTGAGTTGTTCCTAGCATGCCATGGGCTTTTCTGATTCTTTGGGCCTTGGCCTTGCTGCCTTCTGGTCTTCCGGAACCACTGCATCCTGTGGAGCCTGCGGCACCTGCTGTGTCCATGGTTCAGGTCCGAGCTAATGCAGTAGAAGCGAAAGCAAGGCGGGCTCGCAAAACGGAAGGTCTCAGACCGTGGGAACAGTACAGGTATGTCACCTGCAGCCATCATAAGGCAGGAGTAGATCTTTGGGGCTGGCTCACGAAAAAAGTGTTCGAAGGGCTCGGCCTCAACATGACCCAAGACTTTGGCTGTTGGAACTTCGAGTGCGATGGTCTGGCTAAGCTCGTTTGCTACAACAGAGAGGCGCCAGTTCGGAGTGAAATGGACTGTTGCTCCCTCGACACTGTGCAGAATGAACAGGCTGCGTATCCCTGGCAGCCCATGCGGGTTGCGAACACGGTGCGTGACCCCCTGGACATGGTGGCATCGGCTTACTGCTATCATCACAGGGGAATGGAGTGGTACTATCCCGTGTATGGGGGGGTGGAGGTCATGAACATGGGCTTGCACGAAGGTGTGCGCTTCATGGCGCAGAAGATGCTGGATGTCGCTGCCAACATGACCAGCTTGCATGAAAATCCCCACGCGGAAACGCATGCCCTGCGATTCGAGATCATGAGCGCCACATCTGCGGGCTTCGATGCAGAGGTTGAGAAGCTCATCGACTTTTGGCCACACGGCTCTCCCAAACTTGAGGAAGGCGACAGCATGTAGGGTAGACCTGGCTGTTTGATCAGGGAATGCAATGCTGTGTAGGACAGGAAGCAGAAGAGCATTTGTGACACTCATACTGGGTAGTGATGAATTAATGACAATTAGTGGAATAGAGCGAACCTTTGCCTGAACGGAATTATAGCAATGCAGGAGTGGAATAATTTCATGCTCTGGACTGGAAACCGAAGAGCACTTTTGAATTCCTCTATAGGACCCCCCTAAACAATTCAGCCCAAATTTAACTGGGAGACCCCGGATTGCTTAGAATCCTCTACTCGTTGGGGGGGCAATCAGAAACCGGCATTGTTGAGGGGATTGAATCTGTGAGGATTGAATGAGCTTGCCCGACGAGGTTCACTGAAAAGTGGCAATTTGGATGCCTGTGTTCTCCTTTCTATCACAACAGTGTGTTAGGTTATAAGAATACTCTCTAAACTCCTATTATCTGTGATTAAGGATTTTAGTCTAGCCTGGTGATTATCTTTCTATTCCCAACTTTCTATCTCCCCAAGTTCTAGGATTTTATTGTTGTTGCGTGGGTGTGTTCATTCTTTTCTCTCTCTCACTTCCCCACTAATTAAATTAAGGGAGTGAACGCAGTGAATGAAGTGAGTAAATTGAGTGAGAAAGTGAACGAAATTAACTCACAAGTTCACAAGGCCACGAGGATGAATGTTTCGTGGAGGGAAAGTTTGCCAAGGCTGTAAGATTCTGAACCATTGGCAGATAACAGGAGAACTCTAATATAGATTCAGTTGAGCTTGCAGTTCAGGTTTCACGGGCTCATCACAGAGGACGAGCGCAAGAAGGCAATCGAACTGGCCCGGACGATGGACTTGCACCGCTATCCTCAGTTGGAGGTGGAGGGGTAGAGTGCTATGACGCATCTAGATGCGTTATGTTATGGCCAGCCCAAAAAAGTCGGACCTCTCTAATCGAAAACCCCACCGGGGTCTGGGGGATTCTTTGAAGGTTCCTGTTAAAGTCAATAAGGGAGGGGGGGATCCTTCGGCTTCTATAAAACGTAATGGCTGGGTCCTTGGCCTTCATGTTTTAAGGCCTGGCCTCAAATAACCCGCCCTAGCTTTGTGCGTCACCGTGAACGCGCACAAAAAGACCATCGTTGAGCCCCTTGAAGCTTTTATTATATTGAGGTTCAGGGCTCATGCCGGACTACTGATTGCAGCAAGTATACACGTATGTGTATGTATATATATATATGTATACGTAGACAAACGTGCATATACATGGAAGCCAGCTCCCCTACTAGCGCCAACCTTCACACCGCATTCTTCATTTCTTGCTGCCTACTCTCTTCAGCGGATGTGTCCGAACACTGCGGTGAATCTGGACTTCTCCTTCACACAGAGCATATGTTATGTTTCATCTCATGTCTCGGACTTTTCGCAACTCTCATTGCACAAAGAGGTTGGTCCTTGGGGTTGCTAGAATATTCGTAGATATGGTCCCCCTTAGTAGATAGCATAGTATGGCTTAGGGTATAGCATAATCAGATCCCCATATACCCCATATTCCATCTACTTAAGTGGGACTACAACCCCAATATATACCCTATAATAATATAGTAGTTTCCATTTTCTTTTCCACTATCCCAATACAACCCTTATATTCTATCTATTTAAGGGGGACTATAAGGTTGCCATGGAAGCCCTGAGGAGCCTGGTCACACCAATGAGGCCGAGTGCCTGGCGGCCGCAAGGGAGGCAGCTGAACTGATATAGTCCCCCTTAAGTAGAATAGAACATGGGGTATATGGGGATCTTATTATAATGTATCCAAAGCCATATTCTATCTACTTAAGGGGGACTATACTGCATAATTCCCGAAAAAGGGTAATGTTAGAGTATATGGGGGAATGGCAAGGAAATGAAAGCTACTGTAGTATTCGGTGAGAGGCAATAAGATCCCGCTACCCGCCCCGGCAATCATGAGTATTCACACCATATAGCACTTCTGTCATTGGGAGAATATTAGCAGGGTGGGCGGATTCATTATCAGGCGAGGGAATGAGCGTCTCTGGTTCAAGGCTTGTTTTTTGAAAATTCGAAGCTTTGACGATGAAGATGTTTGGGTTCGTGTGGTTCTTCGAGTTGCAAAGGCGCGATAGATGGGCTTATAATTGCAGATCATGCAAGAGCCCATCGCGCAGTATTCACAAAACAACTTCAGTGCGCCTGGTGGTCAAGTAGTGACACTTTTTTGGCAGTGACTCGCATGGACAAGAAAGAAGAAGCCCGCGAAAGCTTCCGCAAAGCAACAAGCAATTGTTGCTCACGCTCATTTTTCCTGCGATAAGCTCTCGTGCCATTGCCCCTAATGACGCGGAGGAGGCTGAATCAAGTGCCAAAATGCGGGTCTTCATTCCTGATTCCGCATCAGGAAGATGTACATGCTTTTTTGCCAAGGCGAGATGCCACATTTTTTTTACTTTCTTGTGAGGGTATGTCGGAGAGGCCTCGTGCTAGATCCATGATGCAGAAAACCAATTCTGCTTTGTGGGTCCAAGTGGCCCTTGGTGACAAGGTAGTCAGCATCCCCGTGAGGGCCTGTGAGCCTCCCTACCTGGACCTGCTTCAGGGTCTGGTGTTTCCAAGGATTCACAACCTACAGTCGGAAGGGTGCAAGCGATATCACTTTGGGAAGTGGTGCTAGGCCCTAACCTCCCTAGCGCCGCAGGAAAAAATCTAGGATAGGTATTACGGGTAGAAATCATGATTCTTTGGGAAACTGAGGCAACGCGTTTCATCGAGCCAGAGTTGCTTGGGCAGCTGGAATCCGCATAGGTAGATGGTTTTCCAGCTGTTCTTTTTGCAGGGAAGAAAATGGTCTAAGGACAACGCTCTCGCATGGATTCGAGAATTGTTTAGTAAATGCATACGCTAAAGTATAATTAGTTGCCAGGACACATTGCAGCACAACCCAGGCAGTATCAAGCCTTCCAGCGGAAGTTGGGCTTCTATCACAAGAGCAGCAACGTTGTGTTGAAGTCTGAGCTGTGGGGCAGCTTGTGAGGGGTGTTCCTAAATTATACCACGGGCAGGCAAGGACTTTCTTGGTTCCGCCTCCATTTTGCAGCTGTTCTTGTTGTTTGCTGGTTGTTTGACAACAAAGGCTACAAAGTCACTCAGGCTGCCGAGTTCCAACGCTTCAGCTCTAGACTCGTCGAAGGTGTCCAGCATGACCTTTCCTGACGATGGTTTCGGAGTCTCTGTTGCAATTCCTGTTATGCAGTTTATGTGCGTGTGGCTGTGGTGTATATACATCTGGAGTTTTTGTTTTCGCTGTTTGGTCTTTTTTGTTGTTGGGTCGCTTAAAGACGAGCCAGGCAGACCGGTAAGTGATTGAACTCCCGTGCCCCGCCCAAACAGCAAAAAAAACACACACGACTTCCGCCCAAACAGCAAAAACAAATGCAACCCGCCC